GCGCGCGTGTGCGTGTGCGTGTGTGTATGTATACATATATATATATATATATATATATATATGTATATATATACGTCGTGTATGCACATGCGTGCGCACATGTATCTTGCGTGCAGTTGCAAGTGCATACGCGTTTCCAGATCAATTTTTGCACACACATGTACAGTACAGCTATACGTTTATTTTTCTTTGGGCTTTATTTTGCATTTGATGCAATTTAATCAGTGATCAATTCCATCGAGTCGACCGGTGAATAAGATAATTGATTGCAAATAATTTCGCTTGCATAAGCGATTTTTAATGATGTTTTTTATTAATTCAATTAAATACATAACTCTCAGTAGATTTCATGAATTTTATGAAATTTTGCTAAATAATAAAGAGATTAAATTTAAAATATTAGAAAATTAAATATACTCTTTATTAAGTTTTTAGTATTAACATCTTCATGTTTACACAATTTCATTAAAAGGAATTATTAAAAAATTAGAGAATTAAAAGATTAATTTAATTTAAGAGAATGAAATATATATACGTACTTTTATTTATTTATATATAAATATTAAATAAGAAAAATAAGTAAAATAAATTAAATAAGAAAATCTTATACTATTTAAATTGTCATAATTTTATTGTAACATTATGTATATAAAAATTTATTTTAAATATTTTACTAGTTGTTAATTTTAATATTATAATATTAATAATTTAATATTATAATATTATAATATTTTAATATTATAATATTATAATAAAACCCAAATAATTATACTACATTTATCTACTGAGAGTTAAAATATTAAAATAATAAATATAAAATATTAAATATAAAAAATTAACAATTGTACATCGCACTAAGATCTCTTTATAAGTACACAAAATATTCAATAAAGAGATCTTAAACAAAGTGATGAATTGTTAACTTTTTATATAGCAATTTATAGAAAAATTTATATAAAACTTATTTTATTCCTTTTCTTTTTTTATGTCCATTTAAGTTTTTTGTTTTATTTTTCTTTGCAATTAAGTACTAACGTTTTGGGCAAGTTATAAAAATTCTCGTTTATTCATATTTAATTTCTTATGTCAAATGCTTCATAAAAATGGCAGTGTTGAGAGGATTTCTATCAAAATACTTTTAACAAAAATCCTTGAATACGTAGACATTATTGACTCAAATTCAAAATTTTGAAAAAAATATATATATATATTTTTGCGGAAAAATATTTTTCAATAAATTTCATTGTTTATTCAAGATAAATATAATATTTATATCTTGAAAAACATAATATCGATGTGTTAGAAATTAATTTTAAATTAGTAAAATATATGCTACGCTTAAGAACTGGTCTTGGGCCATGCTATTTTGGCATCGATCCTTTTGTAGGCAAAAAGGCAGTGAGACAGTTCTTGTGGGCATTCATGATCTCCAAGCAGCGTTTCTAAAATTATTTCCAACAAGAAATGCGTCATTATAAATTATTAAATATATTGTAATTTAAAACTCTTAATTAATATAATAATTGAAAGTCACAATATGCAATATTATACAGTTAATTTACTGTATTATATACATTTTACTAATAACTACTAGATGAGAAGTATTATCAATAGTAGAAATTAATGCAATAATTATTTTTATATTAACATTATAAAAATAATAACAAACAAGCATGATAAAAACAGAAATGTAACAAAAATGTAAATTTTCACTGATTGTGAGATATAAAAGCAAAAGCAGTTATCAATAGCTAAAATAAAAATCAATAAAAGTGTTTATTTATTTATTTGATTCTTTGCAAATTTTCCTATTGCACAAATCTTTTTTGTAATATCTTGTATTAAAAAAACTTTTAATTTATTTTATAATACGCATATGTATATACATATATATATAATTAATTTGTATATTAAATGCGTTTACCTTCTCCTTGCACTAGCTTGAAGAGCCCATAATCCTGGGGATTTGTGCATCTAATTTTATGCGCAAGGATACGGCAAATTTCTCTAGTATTCATGTTTGGTCTTACTGGAAGTGTTCTAGTATTTAAAGAACCGTGCAATTCATCTGGTACCAAGATCCGTAATACAGATGAACAATCTGGTGTTCCACATCCCTAAACAAAAAAGATATCCTTATAAAAAGCCAATTGAATTTGTTGTACATAATAGTTGTGCATTTTGTTGTGTTCAATCCCTCTATTGGCTAAAACATTTTCTAAATAGAGTCACTAGGAGCAATAAAACTCTTTGAGTGATCCTACAGACTGTGGTGCTTGAGTAGAATCTTTATCTATAATTTTAATTTTTTCATTGCTCAAGTTGAATCTTTTAATCATTTGTAACAGTCTTTCTCTTACAGAAAGACTTTTCTTACTTCTTTTACTTTATATTCAACAAATTGAATAAATGATATATACTATTGAAGCAACAGTTTTAAAATTTTATTTAAAAAATTCAATTCTATTCATTTAGTAATTTAAAAAATATTTAAACACTAAGATATGTTTAATTAATACATTGTTACATATTTTACATTTTATTTACGTAGGAGGGAAAGTTTTTTTTATATAAGTCAACAGTAATGAAATAGAATTTATCTAATTAATAATTATCCAACTATGTATTTCCTACTTATCTGACTGCTAGGAGAATTAAAAATTTAATTTCTCTTGTGTTATGAAAAAAATTAGTATCTAATTATATTTAAAAAAAATTTATTACACAAAATATTATTAAAATATATAAATCCACAAGTTTTCAAATTTCAAATAATTAAATAAATAATTAAATAATTAAATTTTAAATAAAATTTGTATTATAAGAATATCTGATATATAATTGTTTAAAAATATTACATTCTTCTTTAGATTTAAACTCTATAGGAAATAATCTGTGGAATAAATTATATCACAAGATTCGTCTTATACTTACATATTTAAGAAAAGAATTGAAACTTAAAAAAAACAATCACGAGAGAAATAAAGTCATGTAAATGTTGAATATTAAAAAAAAATAATTTTAGTATATCTAGATATACAATGAAAAATTAAGAATCATTAAAATTGTATATAAATTAACAAAAAAGTATAATACATAATAAAAGTGTAATAGTTTTACATCTTCTCATTATATCCGAATTTTATAACATTTGTGACATAAATGTTAATTGAATATCACTTTATAACATAATACGTATACATAATTCTATATAAAAACATAAATACATTTAAAAATAAAATTATTATTTTTATTAATTACCATAATAAATTTATTTGGGAAGAAAAATTAACAATTAACTTTGGGTTTCTAGTAATTAATAAATTGATTAATAGCACAATTTGAAGATGAAAATAAATACCTTCATAATTTACAGTGCGTATGTACAGTCTGTCATTCAATTGTAGTAATTATTTAATATAAGGGAACCAGTTTCGATGATCTTGGATTTTATATTAGCTAGTAGTGTAAGAGTATATTTAATAATCTTCAAGCTATATAAACATTTTTTTAGACAATAATATATGTAAGTATAATAATTGTTTGTATACTTTTCTAAACAATTATGTAATTATTTAATATAGAGGAATCAACTTCGATGACCTTGACCTTAACATCACATGTTATCATCAAGGTCATGACCCTGCGGAACTTTCAGAAGGTTTTCTCCGTCACTCTTTATTCGTTAAAAAGTTATTCTCAAAAAAACCATGAGAAAGCTGAAAACTTATGAGGAACAGTATAATTGTATACCTCATTTTGCCCCGTAAAGGGAAGGTGTGGTATGGACCTCGCTTCGCGTGAAAAATCGAGAACCTATGTGGAATAATATAATATATATTATAGACCTTGTTTTACCCCATAATGGATCTTGCTTTGTGTGAAAAGTCATAATTATAACGTTGTATGGATTTTCAACTCTTCTTGCGAAGCGAAGTCCACCCCACACCCACCTCTTACGGGGCGGCACGAAGTCTATACTCTATAATTGTATCATTCCGTATAAGTTTTCGACTTTCCACGCAAAGCGAGATTCATCTCCTATCTACCTCTACACTTAATGGACGAAACGAGATCTATACTATTTCACATTACTTTGCTTATAAAATAATTGAAAAAACAAGTATTATTTTTTCCTAATAATTTTATTCATAAATTTAAAAATTTTTTTGTTAACAACTTGTTAATTAACAATTAGTGATGGCTAAAACTTTCTGAAGTTCCCTCATGGTCACGACCTTGATAACATATGTCAAGGTCAAAGTCGAAACTGCAAGTTCCCTTATATTAAATAATTACTACGATTAAGAGGATGCTAAAGCCGTCTGTTTTATCGACAAAAATACCATTTTTGTTGGATACAAAATACTTCATATTAATCGCATAGAATAAAATTTCTTTTTCTACGATTAAAACACACA